TGTGGTGTCAAACGTGACCGCGGCCATTGTCGTGCTGTGCAATTCCGAGCTCAGCATACTTGATTAATGTGTGATTTGGACGGCAACACAGATTGTTTCAGGCACTGAACCTGCATTTTCTGGAGCCTTTGATAACTTTTTTGAGAAAGGGAGATACGTCTGTCTATGTTGCGGTGCTGAGTTGTTCAAGTATGTTTTGTAATCTTTTACTTATTTTAGTTGAATCCGTATGCATTAATTACGCTTTACTGCCTCACTTGTCGAACAGTGTCGACGTTCTGGCCAAATTTTGGCCGAACTTCGACCGCTTTGGTTTTTTGTGTAGGATAAACTTAATTGTGAGATTTTGTCCCCGGGGATAGCAAGCGTCAGGACACAAATAATATCACGCTCGCTTAGAGTAAAAATGCTTGGCGCTGACGCCAAAGCAATTGAAATCAATAAATTCGCTGAAAATTTGCCTCACGGTGCTTGACCCTCCACACCTGAACACCAATATTACATCCGCTGTGCGGGAAATGCTGAGCGAGTGTGATACTGTGATGCGTGGGCTATAGATACCAGCACCAAAAGTGACTTGTAGTGCCGACACCTGTCGCGCAGACGGTTACTGGCCAAAGTGATGTGATATTCGGGGGATGAAACTGCCTCCAATGTGATTTTATGACGGAAACTACCTCTGGAGAGAAGTTTCGATCAAAATTTTGCTTGAATTCGAAACAGTATGACAGTAAAGCGGGCAAAATAGTGGATGTATAGTGTAGTTCGCTGCGGACTGTTGAGCTGTCAGGCGGGATGAGTTTGGCACCCAAACCCGTTCTCCACCAGCGAGCAAATGATATGACTGTATCATATCGTTCGTATTACTCGTTTTCTACCACTTTTTGTCGCATGCGCGCTTCAACAAGAAGGCAGAGAACGGCTTTGACGGGGTGACACACTCATACTGCCTGACACGCCCAACCGTCCGCAGCAAACTAGGGTGGTGCACGTTGATCTCATGAAGTACTTTAGTTCCGATTCCAAGTACTGGTCCGGTTGTGGATGGCCGGCATTTTCGAAATCCGTTGGTAATGACATGAATATCATTCGACTGGAAGATAATACACACGGCATGAAACGTGTTGAAGTTCGATGTACCTCAGAACACTCTACCAAATGCAGCGCCATCGAGCGTAACCGCCAGCGCCGCCGTCCATGTAAGAGTGATGAGTTTCTTTAGCTGATTTTGTTGTCATTTCTATTCCACCATGTCCCATTTCCACAGAACCAGCAGAATAGATGGTCACCTGCTATGTAAGCGGACGGGACGAACAAAAGGGATCGTAACTTGCCCCAAATTAAAGAAAACGTACCGCGCCCATTGTCCTGCCTCCGTTCGTCGCTGCGGCAATGGGCGCGACGTTTTCTTAATTTGTCACTACCCTTTCGATTGGAGCATCATATTCCATGTAGAAAAGACATGCTTGTCACTTATGTCTATTTTTGGTTATACATAATCTGCTCTCGACCAACACCTCGTCGTCATTAGCGGGCGCAACGTCGCACGCGTAGCTCACCGGCGCGGCGAAATACGATTCTCTTGCCACATACCCGAGGCTGACACCTCTGTTTTCATTATCGAATGGTCATAGAGCTGAGAGGAAAATAGCGCCCGGTCTGCAAGACGTGCGCGTTCGTATCCCGCCTGAGATCTGAGTTTTGCCCATAAAAGCGTTCTTCTGATAACTATAGAAGTCCTAATTAATTTCTTCCTTCGAGATCGGAAATTCGACATCCATCATGCGCATTTTGTTCCGGCCCAAAGTAAATACCCAAAATTTATTCGCTTCCACTGCTCAAAGGCCGCGCGTGAGCGACAGGCTCGAACAGTTCAGAAGAAACTGATGCCAATGCGATGCCGCATAATACCGCCGCCTTTTTGGGATTCAGGGAGCTGGTCACCTCATTTGAAACGATCAGTTTTTACCAAATTGCTTTGGAGGGAGAAGGCGCTATGGTAGCTAGTGGCGGAGCTTATCGTACAAGTAGCTTAGCGGTAAGTACTGAATTGGTTCGGTGCCGCCACAAGCCATACATGTGGGCTGGGGCCAAATTCGTCTGGAAAATAGAAACACTGACTTGCACATCGGCGAACCACCGGAACTCTCGAGTCATGTAGCCCTCAAAAAAATCACTACTCTGGATGGAAGTAGAATGTGTGGCGCATCCCAGAAGGGGTTCAATTAGGGCACATCGCTTTATTCTATTCATTCCTGAGTCCAAGAGGAGGATGGAACTATTATTGTTGAATTTTGGGATCGGTGAAATCTGAGACTTTCAGTGCAATGCTCATCTTGGTCATGTGTTCGACGATGGTCCAAAGGAGACTGGCGAGCGTTACTGTATCAATAGCGTTTCTATGGCGTTTGAGAAGGCTGATAAGTAATCGTCACACGAGTTGCAGCACATTGGGCTGAGCCTTAGTAATATAGCCAAAAACATTCTATTATGATCCTTACCAGTTAAAACTCAAATTAATGGTTGCTTTATCCTCTACCTCCAAGCTGATTTATCAAAATCTCATCTTCACATAATCGACGTTCTATTAGTACTTATATACGATTCGGGGGGGGGGGACGCATTATAGCGTTGTGTAATATTTCTGCCAAGTACATCCCGCCCTTATTTCGGATACCTTTCATAACCTGCATACGATCTAATCAAATTTTCTCAGAAAGTCATCCTTGAGCAGAGCGTAATAACCTCAGACCAGTGATCAGAAGTAATATAGTTTGCATTACGATTTGTCGGGGGCGGCCAGCGCAGCGCGGCACGAGGCACGAGCTCGAGTCCGGCTGCCTTGTTTTACCGATGGTGATCGAGCAGTGATCGAAGGAAACAGCCACCAGTGGGAAGGTGGGGCCCCGCTGATTGCTGCCCGACAGGTCGCTGTGATATAAAGTGTACTCTTGCCGCTCCGCCGTCTATAGGGGGGGGGGTCGGAGCGAGAAATATCACTAATCAAGAAAGTTTCCGTAGTTAAACACGGTCCTTCCTCTTCCAATGGCCGAATGCACCTCTAACACCTGCGACAAAATCGGACCCCGTTGAGAAGTTCTTTGGTCCTTC